GAAACCTCGACAATAGGCAAGCAGTTCTTGTTTCTCTTTTTCTTCGTTTCCTCTCCTTCCTATCCCATTTTTTCTTCGTTTTCATTCATCACCGAAAGAAGGTTTACCTCTTTGTTATGTGGTTTATATCTAGACTTCATATTTCAATCAACAAAATCGTAAACAGTCGCCTTTTATTACATGTTTTTATGGGGCAATGAGTGTATTCCCGCTACCAGCACACCCAAAATTGGGACCCCGGAACCCTTATGTGGAAACAAACAATAAGAAATGAGAATTGAGTGCATGTGCATGTGTACACATACAAATGTGGTGGTATTTCGTAGAAACGAGCATATTTAAACGCCGATGTTACAGGGAGACAGAGCATGACAAGAGCATTAGTGAAAGAAAGTAAGAAAAAGAAAAAACATATACTGGGCCCATTAAAAGACAAAAGATTCTGTTTAATACTATAATGGAGTGAAGTTGGAAACAGGAGAGTAAGGGTGGACATTGTTACAAGTGGAAGGATAACATGGAAAGATGGATAAAACCCGTCTGTTTACAATCAGACAGCCAGGCAGGCAGCAATAGATAATCATTCAGCTAACCTTCATTTTTAAGACGGCTCCTGGTTGATTGAATCATAATTTTTGGAAATCTGAAAATAATTACTCGGAAAATTATTACTTTAAACAGATCCAAAAGTTGCGGCCAACTTTAAAAAAAAAAATGTGTAGTTCAGTAATCGTTTGGTGTAAATTGTTGCAATGTGCAATGTAATCCGAAAATAATCATCTTCTAGTAGGCAAATAGTTATAACACAAACATCTATCTAGTATTTTGTGTGTGTGTGTGTGTGTGTGTGTGTGTGTGTGTGTGTGTGTGAGTGTTTGTGTGCGTGTGTGGTATATGATTTTTTTTAAAACAGACATCCATTACATGCATAAAATTAGCATGGTGACAGTAAATGGCTTCAGGCGACGTTGGCAAAACATCAGACTGCACGCGTTTTAGAGGTAATCCGTGCCAGAAGCTAAGACCAACCTGTGTGGAATAGGGAAGTGGGTACACGTCATGTATTGCTATGATGCTGGTTGGCTTGTCAGACATGAACTCTGACTAAATAGCACGAAAGAAAACTAACCCTCTGCGAAATGATAGGTTTGAGAAAGGCCTTGAACAAAACTTTGAGAGATCATATGAGAAACAAAGACATTACAAGAACTGCTGGAACAATACCTTTAATTAAATTCACTGAGAAACAACAACTAAAATGGTTTCATGATTTAATGAGAATGAATCCAATTATACCAGCAACGAGAGCGTATCATACGAAAGCATAAACATTAAGGGGTAGGAGACAACCAAGACGAAATGGATTGAAGAAGTCATTGATACCTTGCAACTTCGCAACATCACCGCATACAGGGCAACCGAACATGCCCTAGCTCGGAAACCGATCATCTGTTAACCTGCGACGTTTAGTAGCACAAAGCAGAACATGAACAAAAGAACAGATCTGCTGTTATCAGGGTATCCAAGGCTGTTTTCTGGGTATCCAAGGCTGTTATCAGGGCATCCAAGGCTGTTATCAGAGTATCCAAAGCTGTTATCAAGGCATCCAAGTGTAGCACAGCTCTCTCTAATTTGTGGCGTACGTTGATGTCACACCCAGGTTTGTTCTTAGGTTTGCTACAGGAGGAGTCGATTGGAAAGTTATAGACGAGGAGAAACACGGTCGTGTCGATAGTGACGATGATGATGATGATGTCTTGCTGCATGCTTCTCACGTGACTCTGATGCTTGTATAATAAAATGGCTGGAAACAACAGTTCTCGTCTACACTGTCTTTATTGTGATACTTCAACAATGTCACAAATACATCAATGATATTCTGAATAGCGCTGTGTTCTCTCGATGGTTAAATACTCGTAGGTTCGCGTTGTGTTCTTCATCTCTAGTTACTTTGTTAACTGGTTCTAGTGTCTCTAACAGCCACTTGGCTGTTTGGTACTAACGTCTTGAGCGTTGACTCTAACATCTCTATAGTGTTCCTAATATGTCTCTGTTCTCTATGGATCCATGTATATTGTGTGTCGTCTCTGTCTTGGGAGTCCATGTGACTGGTCTCTCCTCTCTTGAGTCTTGTGGACTGAAGAATTGCTAAAGTGCTTTGTTACTCGCTATTTATACTTGTATGATGGAATGCTAGGTATTTGTTTTCTTCTCGCATTGTCTGCTTTTAGAATATTCTAGTACGTCTAAACTTGTTTACTATGTACGTTCTCACGTGGGATTTGCTAATTATATCTCGATTGCATCAGATTTCATCATCCTATTCTACGCTGATATAGTAGTTAAAATGACAATTGAGGTCATAGAAGCTTCTAAAAAAAAAAAAAAACAAGGACAATTGCGTTTGCTTTGATAGGGCATGACAACAAGGTATTTACTAGTTAGACAAGGTTATGTCACATGATGAAAAACGCATTACAAAACTTCTAGAAAGAAGGCCAAGGCCAGACAGACAACTTCAGTTTGATGTCAACAGCTAGTTTTGGTAGGAACAGAAGATTCTGGAAAAGTGAATGTCAAGGCTGCCAAAACTTGTTGATCTCCTAATATTCTAGCTTTATGCGACCTAACAAACAAGCTATGAGCTCACTCTATTACACAAAGATGTTATCAAGGTATCCAAGGCTTTTATCAAGGTATTCAAGGCTGTTATCAGGGTATCCAAGGCTGTTATTAAGTAATCCAAGGTTGTTATCAGAGTATCCAATGCTGTTATCAAGGTATCCAAGGCTGTTATCAGGGTATCCAAGGTTGTTATCGGGGTATCCAAGGCTGTTTTTGGGGTATCCAAGGTTGTTTTCGGGGTATCCAAGGTTGTTATCGGGGTATAGAAGGAAAGTTGTTATCAGGGTATCCAAGGCTGGTATCAGGGTATCCAAGGCTGTTATCGGGGTATCCAAGGCTGGTATCAGGGTATCCAAGGCTGTTATCAGGGTATCCAAGGCTGTTATCGAGGTATCCATGGCTGTTATCAAGGTATCCAAGGCTGTTATCAAAGTATCCAAGGCTGTTATTAAAGTATCCAAGGCTGTTATCAGGGTATCCAATGCTGTTATCAGAGTATCCAAGGCTGTTATCGGGGTATCCAATGTTGTTATCGGAGTATCCAAGGCTTTTTTCGGGGTATCCAAGTTTTTTCGGGGTATCCAAGGTTGTTATCGGGGTATCCAAGGAAGTTGTTATCAGGGTATCCAAGGCTGGTATCAGGGTATCCAAGGCTGTTATCAGGGTATCCAAGGCTGGTATCAGGGTATCCAAGGCTGTTATCAGGGTATCCAAGGCTGTTATCAAAGTATCCAAGGCTGTTATCAAGGTATCCAAGGCTATCAAAGTATCCAAGGCTGTTATCATGGTATCCAAGGCTGTTATCAGGGTATCCAAGGCTGTTATCGGGGTATCCATTGTTGTTATCGGAGTATCCAAGGCTGTTCTTGGGGTATCCACGGTTGTTTTCGGGGTATCCAAGGTTGTTATCAGGGTATCCAAGGCTGTTATCATGGTATCCAAGGCTGGTATCAGGGTATCCAAGGCTGTTATCGGGGTATCCAAGGTTGTTTTCGGGGTATCCAAGGTTGTTATCAGGGTATCCAAAGCTGTTATCAGGGCATCCAAATCTGTTATCAGGGTATCCAAGTCTGTTATCAGGGTATCCAAGTATTTAAACATATCCACTTGTTTGAGGATTGCCCTGTTTACTTTGATGCTGTATTTTGTACGGGCAGTTTTCTTTTTAATTACCATTTCGTCTGTTTTTCTGCAATTCAAACTATGACCCTTTTTTTCTAATATTCTGTTACAATTTTATGATAATCAGCATGGTTTATAATCAGTTGCACAGTATACAACTATTTATATCATCATCATCATCATCACTATCATCATCACCATCATCCCCACGATCCTCATCACCATCATCATCATCATCATCATCATCATCATCATCATCATCATCATCATCATCGCCATCATCAATCACCATCATCATCACGATCATCATCATCATCATCATCATCACGATCATCATCACCACGATCATCATCACCATCATCATCAATCACCATCATCACCATCATCACCATCATCACCACGATCATCATCACCATCATCATCATCATCGCCATCATCATCATCATCATCGCCATTATCATCATCATCATCACGATCACCATCATCATAATCACGATCATCATCACCATCAACATCGTCATCATCTTCATAAGCATAAACAATCGTAGACTATTTTCATCAGTATCATCATCACTATCATCAGTATCTGCAGTAATCTATAATACACCATAATTAATTTCATCATCATCATTATAGCCATCCTGTTCATCATTACCATCATCTTCTTCTTTTTCTTTGCTTTAAACTCTGGTATAAAGTTCTGGTTGTTCATCCACTTCTGGACTGCTGTCCTGCTCCAGAGCCTGAGCATTGCGTGTGCATCCGTTTGAAAGACTTGACACATTTGTATGCAGCTAGCGGTTCCTTGCCTCTCAGGCAGATGCACTCCAACTTCGAAGGAAGCTCCCAGTTAGTCGACTCTTACGACATGCTTTTGAGTAGACAGTGGGTCAATTCTTGTTTTCCCCATCATCATTATCATGAATGGTTTAATCAGTTATACATTATAACTTTTTTTTCATGATGTCCTGATCAATTTTTCGATACCTATAGATGCTAGATGCTCTTTATCATGTAGGAAATGTATTACGATGCTGACTGTTGAAATAGGAAAGTGGTCGTTTACTTCCTCTCCTGCTCCCTTTCCGCACAACATTCAAAATTCACTCAACCAACCTTACAGATGTTGTTTTATGCAAGATCGTATCTTGAATCCGCATCTGTAAATGTAACCGAAATAATTTAACATTCTAGACTTCAATGCAGCTTGATATAATGTGTTACTTTTTCTTGTTTTCCAGGGAAAAGGGAAAATGAAAACATATTGGCTTGTCGGAAAGAAAGAGATCAAGGAACAAGATCTGTCCAAATGCCCCTTCATCTCTATAATGGAAGAAGAAGTCAGAAGTCGCAACAGAGATGAAAAGATCGACTCTAGCAACAGTCGTCTGAATATGGATGCCGGATACCCAGTCTCGAGCAGTCCTCTTCCGTACTCGCCCGTTTCCTTCAAAGATGTTTTGGAGGAAAGGAACAGCCCTGGAGGACGCAAGATTTCTGCAGCTTCTGTGGATGGCGAAGGGAATCGTGCAGGCGCCAACAGATTCCCGCGAGGATCTAAAGATCTCCCTCCTGGTTGTCCGTTTGCTATGGGTCTGTTTGGTGACCTTCCTTCTGGTGATTCGGCTCCAAAAGATTCAGAAAAGCAATCTCCTGGAAAAAAAAACTTCGACAAGGGTTCGCCAGTAAAAAAAAAGTCCCCGGACATCCCCCACGTCTCAGCCGAAAAGAACAGTAGCGCCATCACGTCAAAACTGCCAGCAATTGCCGTCACTCAGTCGCAATCTACCCTGAAGACTTCAAACCCACAACCAACTTCTAAAAATGAGCGTAACGCTAACAACAACAAAATCATCAAAACTTCACCAACGTTGAAAGATATTATTATAGCACAGTCTGTGACATCCTCAAAACCACCAGTCATAGACCTAAAAACACATTTTCCAGTTAAACATTTGACAGATGTTATTCATCCGTCGCAACCGGTAACGCAAAATAATCACACTCAGCAGCCGAAAGCAATAGACTCGTCATTTAGAACAACGTTAAACAATTCTGTGCCATCGAAAGACGTAGATGGAAATGAAAATTCCTCACAAAATACTTCACCCCAAGAATCCGTCTCTCCTCCCAATAGCAAATCCATTGATAGTGACTCTGTTGTTGCGCTAAACAGCCGGGCAGCCTCAGTCACCACTATCAGATCCAGCAGTAACAAGAAGGATTTCATTAACACTAGCCAGCATAACAACGAGGACAGCCCATTGAAACAGTCAAATACTCGGACTGAAAATGGTACTCTAGGTTACGGTAAAGACTCCAATAAGCCAAACTTTGATATATATCAAACCGAAAAGCCATCAAATGTGGCCAACGGAAACCATGTGATAAAAACAGACATTGGCTGTTTATCCCGGACAAACTTTGATAAAGGTTTAACAAATAAAGACAGCAAAATGTGTCAAGTCTTGTAAGCATCTACACACTCTGTGAATTTCTATATTCGAACATTCTTATGGATATTATATATTTGTTCTGGACTTTATTACCCAAAATGTTTTCCCGTTGTAAAATTAAATAATGAGATCACAAACATTGCGCAATTAATTGCCTGGAATATTTCGCTACAGCCCGCCATGTTACTACAGAGACACATCAACATATAAGGAACCATATAATACTATCATTTTCATTAGGTACCATATACATTATTTCCACTGAAATATTATGACTCTAGTTACACTGTAAATCTCACCCCCCCCCCCCTTCTTTTCCCTATTCAAGAATAGCCAAGTGATTATGACGAAGTTTCAGATTTACACTATGCTCTTTTTGTTTGCACAGCGCGTTATTGTTCGGTTTGATTTTTCCCGACTCCTGCCAATCACTGCCTCTTAAGTTTGTCACTAAATTAACTTGGACACAAAAATCACTCACCCGGAAGTGTTAAATAGCTACAGAGATCGTAATTTGGGTACTTCAGTAGAACGGATATGTTTGGATGCTTCATTACATTTTGATGTAACTCTTCAGTAATGCACATGATGATACATAGCGAAATATGTCAGGCATTAAAATTGTGCAGTCTATTGTTTGGATCTACATTATTTAAATTGCAATGTTCGTTTTAAAACGATATGAGCTATTTCCTATGGGTTTGTTAACGCCCTGAGCACCAGGATTTGTTCCGAGGAATTCCTCTGTTGAATGTATGCTCCTATAAACTCAACTGATATTGGTAAGTAATGAGTGTCATCCTGGTGCAACAAGAATATAACACAGGGTACCTCAGAGTGAACCCCAGCAAGTTCTTGTGCCAGGGCTTAACTTCTCCAGAATCTCATTGAACTGTATCCACTTTGTTAGTTAATCGAAGTTTCATCAGTAACAAGGGAGCTATTGTATTAGATTTTATATACGGCATTTATACTTCACCAGTCACAAAAAGTGATGAAAACAGGGGTGACTGCAGTGGAGACAATACCAAGAAACTAATCCACTAAACTTTGACTGATAGGTTTAACGTTAAGGTGGTTTGTCCAATTTAGTTGATTAGTTAATTAGATGGCATTAAACAATTCTTTGTGGTAACGTTTCATATTTCTATGACGTGATAAAATTAGCTATGGTTTTAACAAATCCTGGTCAATCCTTTATAAAGAAAATTAATTTATTCCGTACTAGGCAACTCATCACACTTTGGGTAATTACTGAATATTTTGTGTACAATAGCTTATTTGTTTCCCATGTTCTTCTGTGAGGTTCATCCTCTCTATAGCAGTGTTACTTCAACTCCCCCTGTTCAATATTTCTACGATTTTATTTCAATGAGTCTCAGAGATTTGTTAGTTAATTAATCGATCAATAAACGTAAATGTATATTGGACAATTCCATAAGCGCTCGGATTCCATCGTCAACATGTACCTTAGCGTGTGACGACAGATAACATCAATTCTATGTTGGTTTGGTGATCATCTTTGATTACCTGTAAAGTGTTCATATCATTCATTCATAAATATATGAATTCTGATATACCTGCCAAAACAGCTCTCACATGGACACCAGAGGAAAAGAGAAAACAGAGGCGGCCAAAAACAACATGGAAACGAACGATGGAAAGTGACCTGAGTGCGGTATCTTTGACATGGAAAACTGCACTGAAGATTGCACAGGACAGGAAAGCAAGTCCTCTCTGAAGCCTTATGTGCCACTAGGCATAACGAGAACTGAAAGTGTTCATATCCGGTAACACCTCTCTTATCGTTGTGTCAAGTTTACCAATTATCCTTTTCTCATAAATCACGGATTCGTTCTACCTACTCGAGAGCATTCTGAACATCTGCTCGTCCATTGCTTTTCTTGTTCCTACTGTGACTGTGCCAACAAGTCAGTCAGCTCATTCATACCCTCTCACCACAGATTGTTCTGGCACACAAATTAAACTGATTCCTGTAGATGAGACTTGCTCGGAAACTCCAAAAATTGTCTTTGAACCCATTCTTCTTCACTCTTCTTGAATTTTTTTATAGAATCGATTAGGAAGTTAGGTCAAACATGAGTGTCTTTAGCCAGGTCATTGCGTTTGTTACCGCCATAGTCAGACTGAGAGATTGGCTCGAAAGGGCAAAAACTCTGAATTAATAAAGTACTGAAGTAACAACGGTCTGGTACAGAAAAGGCTAACTGTTTACAGAAAATATAAGTAAAAGATTATTAATAATAAGTGTATCTTTTTCTTTTCATACTTCTACGGGTATTTGTTTCAGAAAACACATCTGTAACTGGGGCAACTCCGTGACCAAGGGGCTACGCCATGTGCCTCAAGTTCTAAGAGTTGTGGTTTCAATTTCGATTTCGGATGCTTTCTCTTGTTTGCGAGTGCAGGTGTTTTAGAGATACCAGGCGGGTTCCTTAAAAGTGTGATTAAAAAAAGTTACAATATATATGCACTTCTCTTGCAACCTGTCAATATTGTTCATGATGATGTCAAGAATGCGAAGCACCTGACGTCAGGGTGTAGACTAATACGATGACGCCATAATTGCAGTTTAAGGTGTACGTGTGGATCTTTGCTGGAGCTAGGATGTTCGTGATTTATGAAAGCTTTTGCTGGTGATCAGCCAAACCACGAAGAGAAAATCTTCGCAGCGAACTCGAACCTTAAGCATCCCTTTATTAATAAACATGAGAATGCTTCGAAGAACGTCTTCATATTTTGGTTACCTAGGTAATGAGTACCTATGAGATTGTCTATAAATTTCCATACTGCACACACACAAAATAACAGTAGAAGAAAATCGACGTTTTTCATTTCATTTCTTTTCTAAAATCGCGGTTATAAACATGCACACTACAGTATTTCTATGTCTGATGGCACAGGAGGATAAATATTGTTGATGTTTGTTATTAAACCTGAAAAACATAACTGTTCTCTTTTGCCTGACACAAAATTGTTCTATTTCTTGATTTCTTTTTTTTTTTTTCGGTTTAATAGTAAAGTTTAAAGATTAACCTTTTCTTGCATTTATAAATTCGCAACACATATTCAGTACCGACTGGTCTAGGCATATATAGTTCTTACGCCATATGTCTGAATCAAATTGGTGTGTAAAGTCTTTCACATTACCGACTTCCCTAGAACAAAACAAAATAGGATTCTATCCCAGTATCTTCCCCAAACAGACAGTCGAATATTTTAGAGTGTGGTAGATAGGCTGCATGCAGTCGTGAGATCAAGGCTGCATGCAGTCGTGAGATCAAGGCTGCATGCAGTCGTGGGACCTAGGCTACATGCAGTCGTGAGATCTAGGCTACATGCAGTCGTGAGATCTAGGCTGCATGCAGTCGTGAGATCAAGGCTGCATGCAGTCGTGAGATCAAGGCTGCATGCAGTCGTGGGACCTAGGCTGCATGCAGTCGTGGGACCTAGGCTGCATGCAGTCGTGGGATCTAGGCTGCATGCAGTCGTGAGATCAAGGCTGCATGCAGTCGTGTGAGGCTGCATGCAAGGCTAGGCTGCATGCAGTCGTGAGATCTAGGCTGCATGCAGTCGTGGGATCTAGGCTGCATGCAGTCGTGGGATCTAGGCTGCATGCAGTCGTGAGATCTAGGCTACTGCGTGGGACCTAGGCTACATGCAGTCGTGAGATCAAGGCTGCATGCAGTCGTGAGATCTAGGCTGCATGCAGTCGTGGGACCTAGGCTGCATCTCTTGTCGTGGGACCTGGGCTACATGATCATTTTAGTATTAAAAACGTGAAAGCCGCGATCTACCACCCTTGAAATTACTGGACTGTCCTGTTATGTCATCATGTGGGGATGGGGGGGGGGGGGGAGGGGCGATATCGGGAAAGAACCCTAAATAGTATACCCCCCCCCCCCCCCCCCAAAAAAAAAAAAAAAAAAAAAAAAAACTTAAGGACTATATGATCGCTGTTAGTGCGTCAGTATATTGTTAGGGACTTATGTTCTTATAGGCCAGTCAGCACTCCGTGGGTGATCTAACCCAGACCAAGAATTATCACTTCTTATTACATTTCATTATACCCACTTTTGGCTTCTTTATTCTGTTATAGGAGCAAATATCAGTTACAGGAGAATGTGAACCCAAGACCTTAGTACAACGTGTAAGTTTTCCCACACCAATGCTACAGAAGTTACAAAACAAAAAAGTCTGAAGTACCAGAATGGGGTAATGTCAATACAAGCATTGTGACGTTTGCAGACGAATTAGCTGGTTGTGTAATATTGTCCGACTCAAAACTAGTTGAGGGACAGCCTTTATGTAGCTGTACTCTTTCTCATACATATATTTCCGCTGTGTAGTTGTCATAGCAACTGTTCTTGATGTATAGACTAAATGCTTAAATTGAACATTTATAGTGGGACAGAATGTAATTGTTTGCTAACATATTAGTACGTGGCACGAAAGAAGACATCTGACAGACTGTCCACAGCCTATATTAGAATATGTATCTAAACGTACAGACATATAAAATCAAACACATGCATGCACACCAGTATCTATAGTTACATCCACAAACAGTGACAAACACACAGACGTACGCTCATAAACATATTGGGTAGATTACGAAATCATCTCACCTATCGCTGACATAAATTATATACTTATTGTGATGTTTTATGTATAGCTTTCTGACAGTGTAAAGGCTCCCAGCATCATTTGGAAACATATCAAGAGGGGACTGGAGAATGGAATGCAACTCGGTCATCTCACCATCTCACCAGGCTTAATGTTTTCTCATGATTCAAAAATGTCTACTTTTTCTAGCAAGCGGCCATATAAACTCCTGTAAGAACTTGACCATGATGACGAGGATTGTGTTTAGAGCTACGGCTCAGAAACGAAAATGCAGTTATCGTTGTAGAGAAATTCACCAGAGGATATGCAGGTGCTTGGCAAAGGGAGAGCCCTAACCGTTTTCTAGTTAGTTAGTTAGTTGCGTTCCTTTACAGAGCGTTGCAGAACCAACCCCAACAGCCCCTGGCTGTTGTGTGGTTTTTCTAGGCAAATTTACGTCCAGTAGTTTGCCATTGCCTCTGGACGGTCGGCTTTCTTTATACGACTGTCGAAACCAACGCAAGGCAAATGGCCCGCAGCAGGGATTGAACCCGGCATCCCGGCATTACGAAGCGTTCGCATCGATTTAGCCACAGAGCCGACACAGAGTTTTCTAGAACTACCGTCAAAAAGTGCATGTTGAATATTCTCCACGCGGCCTAGACTTTTTTGGTGTTAGTGATCATTGTTTCCCACTAAGATTGCTTGATGAAAATAAAACACAGAGCAAAGTCTGGAAATAATCTTCCTGAATACAAGGGCACCAGGTAGAACTGCAGTCCCAATGATGGGGTTGGAATATTGTTACAGTCCAGACAGTACCAAAGATTACAACCGGAGTGTGATCTGCTTCCTTCGTGATGCTATGCATAAAAGACAATGACTGTACTTGCCATGAACAGAACATTGACTGCCAAATTTCCACAAGACATCGACAAATTCTTGGCGTCTGATTAATATTTAATTTGCAACAACAACACACACACAAACAAACAAACAAAAAAAACATCCGTACCTGCCACTTGACTGTATAACGCCAAAAAAAGGTCGGTAATTTTAAAAACAGATCCTGCCCAATAGATAATATTTTTGTCAAACTCACACTGTTGCTTAACCTGCTCATAAAGATACCGATGAATTGCTAAATGTTTACAATTGTTTCTGTATATCTTACGCTTAAACAATATGCAAGACTGTGATTGTATGTACAGTTAGTTAACACTTTTCTTTGTTGCTGAAAACAAAGCTGTGTACGCGTCACTGTGTAGAATGAAGAATATTATTTTCTGCATGTAAGTTTTACTTTCGTTAACATTATAATACATTGTGTATATTAAACAATATATTAATAGACTGCACTTTCCGTAGGTAGTGCTTGCTAAAAGCCTTTTTTTTTTTATTAGCTGCTTGTAGTCTTTCTATTCACAAAATTGATTCCCAGATAGTTTATTTATATTTTGTTGAGCCTGTGTTGTTTGCTTTTAGTGTTTTTACAAAACAAAAATAATTCGGAATGTGGGGTTGGTAAGGGTCATTACAAATTCTCCAGGGGGGTGAAAACCCCCCCCCCCAAAAAAAAAAAAAAAAATTGGGGGGGGGGGGGCAATGGTCTGAGCTTTGCTTTATTTAGTGTTCAATATAATAACTGTTATAATAATAATCTGCTGAATGATTAATGAGGAAAAAAAAAAATGCCTTTAACAAAAAAGGTTTTAAATTTAAATTAAAAAAGAAAAAAATTTAATTAATATTAAATTAAAAAAGAAAAAAATATAATTTAAAAGAAAACTTTTAAACATGTCTCCCCATATTAAGGGGGGGGGGGGGGTGTCAGCTACCTACCCTTTCACTCCTAAATGGCAGGGAGTGGGGTTTGGGCGCTTGTCTACATAATCCCATGCTCCATGACAGAAGGGGTGATATTACTGCTTAACCCAGAGAGTGCCGATCAGTTTCAAAAACTGCACCTCTCTCTAATAGGTTTAAGGTTTGAGGTTTAAACAACTGATCAACATCATAGCACAAGGGTAGATCTGTAAAACCAGATGTGCACGCGCAACTCAAGTTTTGGAACAAGATAAAAAGTCCAGAAGGGGACAAAGAACCAGCAGTGTGCACTTATCAGTATAAGGCAGGAATTTTGACATTTTTCAACCGAGCCTGGTGTGGGACCTGAAATTTCCACTCCATAAGGCATCCACACTAACAGCGATTAAAATAGTAATCGAGATTCAGATTACGGCCAGGTTACATACAGTTACTCAATGTTTCAGTATTGTTAAAATACTACGTTGTATAACTCTTTTTAAAAGGTTACACACTGTTATAAAGCTATGTATATTGTTAGCTATATTATTAAATTACAACAATTATTGATCTCTGTATACTATTTAGTTACATACGAAAATAGGCCTCTGAATGTCAAGTTATACATAAGTATGGAACTCAGTTACTGTTCAGTTATACACACTTATAGTGTTCAGTATGTGGTTTTAAGTTTTACTGTTATAGAACTATGTATGTTGTTAAGTTACACGCCATTATAGGGATGAGTATATTGTTAGGTTACACTCATTTATATAGCTCTGTACGCTGTTACGTTATACAGCTATATAGGTTTGCATATTGTCAAGTTGCATGCATTGTATTTGCTATGTATACTGTTAATGTAGGCGTGGAAAAGGGTCCTTTACTTTTTTCTTTACTTACTGTTAATTTACACAATTATAGAGCTCAGTGTATTGTTAAGTGACACATTTATAGTGACCTGTGTATTGTTAAGGAACCACACATTTATAGTTTCGTACATTGTTTAAGTTACACGGTTATTCGCATGTTTAGTGTTAAGTTTGACTGATTTAGAGTTCTTTACTTTGTCATGATTAAGTGTATGTGTTTACACCCCCTTTCCCCTCCTCCAACGCGTATGTCTACCAATTTACATCTAAATAGTCGTATCGCCTGTAATTAGTAACTTAGTGTTTTGAGCTTAATTATAACTTTAACACTTTCTATTTTAAGTATTACGTATAGTTTATGGCATAAGTATCAACAACTAGAAATATCGGAGAACGAATTTCCGACAAAAATAAATAAGAGATCATCAACGAAACAGCTATATTACTGAACCTATGAAATGTTCTTGAGGTTCAGTCGAATGTTAACCTGAAGAGAACTTCTGAAAGTTTGGCGCGATGGAGCAACATCAATCCAGGGATTCTCTAACGTTCACATAAACCTATTCTGTCCAATTCACAACTACGGATTCAAGAAGTAAAGAAGTGATGTGTAACACTTGTTTGTTGTTTGTCTTTACAAAGAATCAACGCTATCAATATAATTGTCTTGATGTGTATAGAAAAGTACGTCTTACCTAAAAATCCATCCATCCCAATGTTATACTGAATACCATTTTTTTTTAATTCTAGCTATATTTAGCTTTGTAATTTGCATATCTTAGTTTAACAGGTTACATTTTTGCCATAAACTTTACTTTCATTTGAATGTATTTTAAAATATTGTTACAGTCACTACTAATGGTCTATTCCAGTGTTACATAAATATGAGTAACTGTTGTTCCTTCTTTATCTTGCTGCCCTAGTTGTTTTATTTAGTAGTACTGTTATAACCCTCTTAAATTCAATAAACAGTGATGCAGAAGTATAAACATGCGTTAATTTTATCAACTTAACGATAACTAGACTGTTATATCCGGACACTTTAGCGTTCGTTTTGAAGTGTTTCAGGGATTATTATTATTTGTTTGCTAATTTGAAATATTTTGAATAAACTGAACTAGATCATAGAATTATGGTGTTCATCTGTCATCTGAAAGTTGCTTAATTTTTAAATTTTTGCTGTTTTTTTTTTTTCTTTCTTTTTTTTAGTTTGATGGTCGTTCTTTTTTTTTTTTAGGGGGGGGGGGGGGGGGGGGGGGGGGGAGGGTCGATGGGTTTTATTTATTTGTTTCTCTTTTAGTTTGATGGTCGTTTTTATTTTTATTTTTTTTTATGCACATCTGAAGTCGACCCTGAAGTGCCACCTAGTGATTCAAGGAGCCATTATTATGATGCCAGTCCAACATGGCTAGTTCCCGGAACTCCGTTCAACAGCATTAACGTCTATAATAGGACCAACTAAGATATTAAAACGTTGCTTGTCCTGTGCGGGATAGTAGATTCTACAGTTTCATAGTCTAAGAAAAGTACACATTCTGACTGTTTTAGTGGCATTTTGCACTGTTGTCTTGAAATTAAGCAAGTACGTCTCAGTGACTGGTCCATTAATTATGTGTAAGAAATCCTTGACCTTTTCAATCAAAAATGGCATGTTTCCGCCAAGTTAAAAGATACGACACCTTTTTTTTTTTATTAAACTGTGCCAGAGATAAAAGTTTATAGCAAGCGAACAAGAGATAGCTACTGATACAATTGGGAGGATAACATTAAAAGATGTTCGAATAGCACTCTCAGAGAGTGTATGACTAAGACAAGAGACAGAATATGTTAAAAATCCATTCCAGCCAACTGTGGTCGTGAAGACGGCACCTAGCTGTTTCAGTGGTCTAGCAAATTGGTAATGAATTTCTGTTATGTTCTAATCATCTGTAGTTAGTAAAGTAAAGTAAAGTAAAGGACCCTTTTCCACGCATATAGGCGTATAGGGTATATAGGGCTAGACCTATATTTTATAGACCAACATCACAAGATGGGTAATGTAGTCAGCACCACGCCGGCCGGCTCTACTTCATGGGACTGCACCCGGTACCCACTCAAGGCTGGGTCGACCTAGGAGCCAAGGTGATTTTTGAAGAAAAGTCCGACTCCGCCAGGGAGCGAACCGCCACGACGACTCCCTCAATCATCTGGGTTAGCAATAAAACTTGACTTAATAAGCAAACTGAATGCGCCAACTGGTAGTGACTGCAGTCAAACTCATGGACCAGAAGTGCTAAATATAACATAGAATATGATTAGAAAGCTCAGCGGGGGTGGGGAGGGGGGGGGGAAAGACGCCCACAAATACAGCCAAACGTTTCGACCAAAGTCTTTATCAGGGTAGTAAGACGAAGGTATGCTGCGATGGATGTTGCAGTGAATGAGTGCAGCCTGTTCAACTCAAGTTGGGTAATGGTTGGTTTTACTCGAAAACTCCTAGTCACTGACAGCATTGAAACGTTAGTTGTGCATTCTTTACACGATGTTGCAAAACCAACCCTGGAATTCAATTTTCAGCTGTTACTGTACAATTTTACTTCAGTAGTTTGCCATACGGTTAGAGCTTTAAAGCCTTGTCGAAATTAACGCAAAGAGGACTGCTGCCAAATCCCTTGCAAGTGGAACAAACGCGGGTATTTCGGATTTACTTCGGAAGCCTAAGCCACCGACCCTGACATCTAATATCATAGTCTGAATTGTAACTGCATTGGTTACTACAGTCAATTTCAGAAGTCATGCTTAGCTTTAAAAATGTGTAACTCAGTAACAGTTTGGTGTGAGTTCTTGTAATCTGGCATGCAACTTCTTAATAATCATGTCCATTGAGAACTAAATCAAATTTTTATGTAAATAAATGTCTATTTTTAATTCTACCTTTTTTGCTGTATATGTAAATAAATAATTTAAAAAAAAAAAAACATTAAAAGCAACCAATCAGCATATTTACAGCTGAGAAACGGGAGCTTTTGAAAATATTTGATTGAACGCGTTTCATAAGCATTTCTCTCTTAGGTGGTCATCTCCAACATAAGCTACCCTTGAGTTAGATGAACACAGTTTTTCTTTGTATGCGGGATAGGCTATCAAAATAATCGTTGAGATTGCTGCAGGGTCAACTGATTTCCAAACAATCTCCGTGCGTGTGCCAGTTACTCTATATTCTATCTTTTTTAAGGGGTACTCGAGTTATTAGTCAAACAAAGATAAAAGAAATTCGCCGCAATCAGAAAACAGCAGCACCTGCGCAATTTTAAACTAGAAAATCACAGGGACATGGGAAATCTAAGGTGATTACTATTCTTCTTTTGCGTCCGCTCGTCAAAGGACGTTTCATAAACAATGAGGTTTTTGAGGTTTTGAACAACGGATCAACATCATGGCACATGGGTGTAACCCATAAGTGTTCCCTTCTTCTTCTAACTCAAGTCTGAGTCCGATGAGGCTCAGCACAGTGCACAGGCTCTGTAACACAAAATACACTCTATCAATGGTTTACAAATAAGCTGTGAAATCTGCTCTCTCTCTCTCTCTCTCTCTTTCTCTCTCTCTCTCTCTCTCTCTCTCTCTCTCTCTCTCTCACTCTCTCTCCTCTCTCTCTCTCTCTCTCTCTCTTTCTCTCTATCTCTCTCTATCTCTCTCTATCTCTCTCTTTCCATTTGATTTTTGGGGCTATTGTCTTTACAGAATGAGGTAGCCAACAGCAAGCTCAAATCTGTCATTGGGACATCTGCGCCTTTCAATTAAACACATCTGATTGCAGATAACTCCTAATTAGTTTTCCTTTGGGGGGGGGGGGGGGAGGAGATTGCGGTTGGTCTATTCTTTTCCCCCGTACAATAGCACCCCGGAAGTCACACAAGAAAATTAATGGTGAAACATATGGAACTGCCACATGGATAATTGATTAAGTGACTATATACTCTAATGTCACATGAATAAGTGATTTAGTGACTTTATACTCTAATGTCATATAAAAAAAATGATTAAGTAACTATAAACTCTAATGCCATATGGATAAGTGATTAAGTGGCTGTATCCTCTGTCATATAACAGAATACCGGGAAAGAATGGTGTAGTAGGGAATAGCCGTAAAGTCTAGTCTACACTTAAACGCTCAAATGAAAGACTAGACTGACATTCAGTCATACAGTTTATGGCTAAATCGGTATTGGGACGCTGCACTTGATGCTGCAGATTGGGTAGGGGCGATTATCAGAATGCCCCAATGTGCAGCCTGTCGGGTTTTAGCTCAACTGAACTCAGTCAATTGGCGAAGAAGAGCAACATATGTTAGCATTGATCACAGGGAATCTTGTGCTATTAGAATCTCCATATCAAAATTGAGTTTACTTAAATTAATAGTAATGGTTAAGAAATACATGCACAAAAAATTAGTAAAACAAAATATTAATGACAATATAAGAAAAACGAAACATTTTTACTGTATTCATAATAACAAAGAGAACCGCCGTAGAGCGAATCTAAAGGCCCTGGGTTTGGATACAGAGGGAGATAGCTTTTTTAAAAAAAAAAACTGACATTGCCTTCCTGGCTGCCCCAGCCTTCCATAAATACCAGGAAAAGTCCTGGAAATAAAGGCGGCCTGTGTAATGTAGACCACATCACCTACCGAGGGCCGATTAGTTTATAAAGTATAGTTCTAACCATATAAGCCCACTACGGTTGAAGTCGTGGAATAGGGCCCCTCACTTGACAAATTAACAAAACACATCTGCTGCCTTCATGGCGACAAATCATTAATTAATCCATTTGTTGAGTCAGCGTAATCTCGTTTTCTCTTGAGTTATTATGCTTCATTTCCTTGTGAAACTTTCTGCCACAACAGATCAAAAATACCACTAGTCCTTATGCATACAATCAAAAACTGTTCGAATATTATCTGAGCACAGATTACATGCCCCCATTAGAACCCCCCCCCCCCAAATAGATTTAGTAATTTGTCCTAAATTTATTACAACCACTACGGTTTATTTTAGTTAGAAATGTAGACATTCCAGTGCTTGTGCTGAATATTTTAATACGATTAATAATGTTTATTACTTCATGCATGAATGAAATGATGAAAGAATGGAGGAAGACCTCGATTGGCAGAATGTTAGACGGGCCTGCGTGCCCAATTCTTAACCCTTTGAAGATTAGGTTCGTTCGTTCGTTCGTTCGTTCCACTGAGTTCTGCTAATCCATGCAATTACTTTTGTCATGATGTGATGGTGCAGAAACTCCTGCTTCCGCATCGTCGATGCACAGCCGTGTTGAAATAACTTATATTGCCACTAATGGGAACTACCCGACGGAAACACTTTGTTGCCATAATTTATGCGTAAAAGCGTACAGGAGAAAGATGAAGCAGTGCCGATGGAAAACCATTAGCATTTGTTTTCTAGCACTTTGAGTTCTCACATATTGAGGTCTCACGTATATTTCTCGTTAAGAACGTTTTCGTACTTACCGTTAGACTCCACTCTTACAAGATAAAGGCTGTGTGTGATTGCAGGGGGTAGGGGTTTGTAGGGGGTAGGGGTTTGCAGTGAACAAGAGAGAGAGAGAGAGAGAGAGAGAGAGAGAGAGAGAGAGAGAGAGAGAGAGAGAGAGAGAGAGAGAGAGAGAGAGAGAGAGAGAGAGAGAGAGAGAGAGAGAGAGAGAGATGGAGAACAAACGTACGAGTGAAACGAAAGAATTTTATTTCCAAAAAGTTGAGAATGAGACTTGCAGGCTCGCCTAA